CACTGGTTTAAACGGGAGGATTCCTAGAAAAAAGAGCCCCGCTGGAAGCGAAGTCCCGCCTAGCTACGGAATTAATGTTTCGGCTACGCGGGATATTTTCAAACCTCACAGAAAATGTTTCGGATCCCGGGTAGATACAAGCAATCAGACGAAAGTTCTGCTTCTGAAGGATCACGTGATCCCAATTTGAGCGATAATCGAATACTGTTTGGCGTTCAAGTCTTTGTGTTAAGTGAGAATGGTAACCTAGCTACCTGTGTTTCCTGGAATTGCGCGGGTTCTGAGAATTGTCCCTTTGGACGTCAAGTCCCGCGTAGCCGAAACATAATGTGATTGGGACCTTAAATTAAACAATTTATAATTACTACATCGTCCTCTCATTAGGGATTGCATGCCCCTGGTAATCTATTCCCCAAGACAGGTGAAAGCTAACCATTTCCAAAATAAGGTGCAAGTCTATCGTAATACGCTATATTAGGTTTAGAAGAAGGAGTCTTTTGAATCAGCTTCTTGATCACACGGAAATGTTCTTTCTAGAATGACTGCAGCTTGGGTAAAATCTTTCGATAAGGCTTGGGATTCCACAACTAGCTAAGGTCTGCTTAGTTGAATTTTTGCTCCGTGGACATGGCATCATATATCATTTAATTCCTTTCGTTAGCTGTGTTGATTCTTCTTATGAAGAGTGGATGAATGTCTTCTAAACGCTTAGCAGATTTTCCGGGTACTTCTCAGGCTAAGATGGCTTCTCCAGCGGTCGTTCGAAAAGCAGGCATTAAGGCGGATGAAGATCACAGCCAAAAACCATATGCGATGGAAAAATCTTGTACTCTCATGAAAGGCACTCCTATATGAGAATAAAAATAATGACAGTTTTTAATCCCAATCCTCTTGGCTTCGAGGTACAAAAAGAAATAGATGGGATAATATTCAAAGTAATATAAATACAGCAATTAGAAATAGTATAAATAGATATACAGCAATAATATTAATCCCTTAAAATCTTCCCATTATGCCGCATGATTGTGGATGTAAAGGAATATTTTAAGTCTTTTCCATACCAAAATTTCTACATTGTCCTTTAACTCTCTGACTGGGCGGAGTTTTACTAAGACAGCTCAAATTTCCGAAAATTGCAATGAGAAAGAGGTTTTAGAGACATTAGGTTTTTTTTTTATGCAAGAGAGATGAAAAATGAGTAATGCTCTCCCCTTGCCGGGAATCAAACCACGGACCTCTTGAATACGCGCCAAGCGTGCTGACCACTACACCACGAAGGCGTGCTAAAAATTCGGGAGAAATACCTTATATACTCCCCCATTGAAAGAGCTACTGGGGATTAAGGGACCCAATCGCCACATCCTGGTGGTGGAGAATCATCATCCATCACCATTTTATTTCGCGCACCACTGTAGAGACATTAGGGTTTTTTTTATGCCAGAGAGATGAAAAATGAGCAGCGCCCTCTCCGAGACCCTAACCACGGAGCTCTCGAATACGCGCCGAGCATACTGACCACCACACCCCGAAGGTATGCTAAAAAGGAAATCAGATTGTGGATGTAAAGGAATATTTACAGTAACATCTGAACTGGGCGGAAGTTTACCATAAAGCTAATTTCAGACTGGGCGGAGTTTTATAAGACAGCCAAATTTGAAAGATGCAACAAGAGAGAATTTTAGAGGTTTATTTTTTATTTTTGAAATGAGTAATGATTATCTCTACCCTTCATCAAAAACAACCCGGACCCGCCTTGAGCGTACGCGCCAAGCGTGCACCACGAACCACGAAGGCGTGCAAATTCGGAGAAATAATTATATGGGAGAAAACTCCCATATTGATAGAGCCCCTGGGGATTTAAGGGACCCCTCCACATCCTGGTGGTGGAGAATCATCATTTCCACCCATTTATTTCGCGCACCACTGTAGAGACATTAGGGTTTTTTTATGCCAGATGGAAAAGATGAGCAAAATGAGCCCTCTCCGAGACCCTAACCCGGAGCTCTCGAATAGCCGCGAAGCGAGCTACTGACCACCACACCCCGAAGGTATGCTAAAAAGGCGGGAGAAATACTTTATAATGTATTTTCTTGATTTTAAAATTTCAATTATACTTTATACTTAAATTTATCACGTTTTAATATTATACCTTACGTTTTTCGACATATTTCAAGATTCACGTATATATAGTTTCTTATAGACAACTTAAAACGTAATAAAGGTCGTATATGCCGGTAAGTGGGTTAACCCTCCTGGTACATTGTAGTGCTATAATCTCGTATAAGTGTCTTCGGACTTTCTTGAGCTCCAGACATATATCAGGATTTGCACCATTTCTCTATATCTGCCTTGCTTTTGTCCTAGAAAAAACGTTCACGAACTTTATATTAGAGGTTCAGAAAACTTCTTAAATGATGAACCTGAGGACAACACCGATCATAAACAGCTTCGATTTTCTGAGAATCTGTACGTAATAGTACTTATTTTCTAACATTAGAAGTGCCAGAGCCCTACGGAAGACCATCAGGAAAGAGGAACAAGAATAGCTAAATAAATAAAATGACTAACAAAATCATTAAAATATTAAATAATTAATGATTAAAATAATTAAAATGTAAACAGATAAATTAAAATTTAATAAGGGATTTTTAATATAATTTTACGAATAAAAATAAAATTTTCCAGATCAAATTTCTACTGAAATTGTTCAGTTACATAAAAGAAATGCCGGAGAGCTTTTATTTACGGCTTCGGGGAGCTTCGGCAAGAATTTTGGTTTATCCTAAAAACTAAGAGGTACCAGAGTTGGGCTCCTGCGCAACTTAAGCTCTGGTAGTCGTAGTGGGTATAAGGTATTTCTCCCGCTTTCCTAGCCTGCTTTCGTGGTGTAGTGATCAGCACACTGAGCTGGTATTTCAGAGGTCCGTGGTTCGATTCCCGGCAAAGGCGGTTGCTCATTTTTCATCTCGTCTGCTTCCCCCCCCCCAAAAAAAAAAATTCCGAATGTCTCTACAATAGGATTAAGAAAATACTAATAAGGTGACCAAGAGATGTTACTAAATGTGACTAAGCGAGCTAAATTCCCGTAGAAATAATTTACTTTCGAAGGACTGGCTTAAATTAGCGTCTCTGGAATTCTGTAGCGTTTTTGTGGTATTTTTCAAGTGTTCTTCAAAAGTTTATCCTATTATAATAATTTCCTCGAGATATACAAGGCATTTTTCATATGACAGGACTTTTAAAACTGTTTCGATTAGATGTCAAATGTCTCTGGAGCATAATCTAAAAGGCATTACTTTAAACTGCTAGACTCATTGGCTGGTAATAAATGGAGTATTATTATGATCTTTAGGATCTATTTGCATTTACCAGAAGCCTTTCTTCAAATACAGAAAGAAAAACCGTTCGTTCCTTGCTAACGTATCTAAGATACAATCTGTTCTAAGCAAAGAATAACTGTCGTTCTTTGTAATATCATTCAGATGTCTAAAGTCGACAGAAAATCGAGTGAGCCAGTCTTTTACGAGCTAAGATAAGAAGTGATGCCAAAAGACTAAACGGAGCCTGGATAATATCGTTGTCCTGTCCCTCCTTCAGACGTTTTACGATTTTCTCTAATTTTGCGAAATAAAGACGCAGGCGATGTGTCTTCATAAGGCTTCCAGTGTTGGTCTGCTGTTGTATTACGTTCACGCGAACTAAGTCATTAGATGAAGCTGAAAATACATCCTTAAATTTTACTATTAAACAACTTAAATTTGATTAGCATTTAGGTCTCTTTTTTCAGTTAAATCTTTTAATTTGGCTGAAGAGGGCTTCTCATCGACAGAGCTACGAAATCCCCCCCCTTCCGCAGACGCATAAGTTACTCATACGCTAAAATTCCTTTTGAATATATATGTTTTTTAGGGAAATTAGAAATTCGCACCTTCAGCTTCTTGTATGATTTACTGTGCCGCTGACGATGCATTCCGCTGTCTGTAGAAGAGATAATTATTTTATGAACAATTATCCTATAGCAGCTTACTTGACTTTTGTCTCCCTCAACTTCTTTAGAAGGCCGCTCAAACGGGAAACACAAGTTTAGTGACGCTGACTACCGTACCGAAGGGCCCGGACTCGAACCCCGCAGAAAGCATGGATGTTGTCTGTCCCCTCGCAAGGGTGGTAAATAGCAAAACCTGCTCAAAAGGATAAGGTCCAGATGGGTGGTCCGAATCCGGCTACTTTGTGGAAGGCGACCTGGAGCCTGACTGTGCCGAACTTGAGAGGTTGGTGCTACTATAGGGCAGCTGATGCGGAATACTGCTCTCGTTGTTCTAGCTCGAACATAGGCCTCTTCGTGGCGCCACAACTTAACCGAGATGAGTTCCTTGAACCCATTTAGGGCTAACTATTTTCGGGTGAGGTGCGGTTGCTGCTTTGAGAGGCACTTAACTCCTGTTGGCGAGTCAGGATGCGACTCTTATTGCAGCTATTGATGTTCCCTGGTTTTTAGGGTGTGTGGAGGTCAGGGTTCACCTTAAAGGTTTCAATTGGTAGCTCATCGTCTTAACGACGCAAAAGCTAATTCACTTGCTATTAAATCCGCTATATTGTTGAACATTTCTCGAATATAGCGAACAGATTCTGAGGATGCTACGAAGGTTGATCCAAAAAAAGTTTACAAGCAGAAGCATTTGAAACGTAATAATTGTGGAGCGAATATTTCCACCCAGGTGGTTGACAGATGGAGCTAGTTGTCCTACAGCGGTTCTACGAGTAAGTAGCGTCGGTACGCAGACACAGAGCGACAATAAGTATTGGCACGACGTCTAGAAAAGTGGTCTCGCATAGAGGTGCGAGCCGTAATTCGATTCTTATTGGCCAAGAATGTGGCCGCATCCGAAATTCACAGACAAATCGTTGAGGTATACGGGGACAAAGCAATGAGTAGGCAACAGGTAGCGAAATGGTGTCGTTCTTATCAAGCGGGGAGGGAGAATGTGGAAAACCGCAATATGGAAGCGAGCGGCCGTCCAAGTTCTTCAAGGACGGATATCAACACGGCACGTGTTGAAGAAATCATCCAAAGGGATCGACGAGTAACCGTGCGTGAGATTGCCTTAGAGTTGGACCTGAGTTATGGTAACGTTCAGCGTATCGTGTCCGATGAGTTGCGATATTCCAAAGTTTGTGCCCGCTGGGTTCCACGTGCGTTGTCCACGGAGCATAAGGCCACTCGAACCACGTTAGAAATGTGCAGCCTCACATTTCTACAGCGATACCATTCAGACGGCCAACACTTCATTGATCGCATCATTACCGGTGATAAAACATGGCTTCATCACTTCACCCCCCGCATCCAAAAGAGCCAGATGGAGTGGAAACACGCTGGATCACCGACGAGGAAGAAGTTTAAGGTCACACCCTCTGCCGGTAAAGTGATGGCAACCGTTTTCTGGGATACGACTAGTGTTATCCTAATCGAGTATTTGGAGCGTGGCCATACCATTAAGGCCAATCGTTTATTGTGCCACCTTAACGAAATTGCGTGAAGCCATCTGACGGAAACGGCCTGGATTACTGAGCAAAGGCGTCATTCTTCTGTATGACAATCCAGTCCCCATACAGCTCGCTAGACTCAAGAATTGCTGCAAAGGTTCAAGTGGGAAGTCTGGAATCACCACCCATACAGCCCCGATTTGGCTCCAAGTGACTATTTTCCGGCGTTGAAGCGATACTTATCCGGAACACGGTTCACCTCAGACGATGCAGTGAAAACAGCTGCCGAGAAATGGCTCAGTGAGCAGGGCCCTGATTACTACCAAGACGGAATAAACAAGTTCGTCGAACGTTCTGACAAATGTCTAAACAGGTTGGGCGACTATGTGGAAAAGTGAAGGCCAGATGTGTTTCTTGATTCCCATTTGTATCTTGTTTCTATTGTTAATAAATACTTTTTCATTTGTCTTGTAAACTTTCTTTTTGGATCACCCCTCTTATTTTAACGATAAATCTCACCTGCCCGCCGGGAATGCGGATTTTAGCTTTATTTGAATGGGCCTTATTTTTGTTCGCTTATGTAAGTTGATTGGCAATTAAGTGCTAATCTGTGAGGCACCAAATGGTGGCTCGTCATTCTAGTGACGCGATGGCCCCACGGTTATGACAGCTAATCTTTATGATTAATTTATTTTTATACCGTTGTTCCTTCTAGCAGTGCACTGCTTTCATATCTCATGGGATTTTATGTAACTTTGTTACATTTTCACTAAAATCTCGAATAAGCCGCCATTTGGTATGCGTTGGACTTTCTCCGTTCTATCTCCCCCTGTCTGGCCTGTTCTTTATTTACTTTATTGTTCGGTCAACTGGAGTTCGTGGTTTAGCGATGGACTCTGTAACGGATTTGTAGAGTCCCCGGCCTCGCGGCTGCGCACTCGCGACAGTAGTAGTGTGTTCTCTCTAGACTACACCAATATTCCCTAATATACCAGTTATTTTGCACAGTTCTAGCTCTGGTTGTCCCTTCGCAGGAGGCAATGGTAGCCACCTGTTAGGTGCCTCCATAACAAAGTGGTCACAGCTTCCGGCTTTAGTAGTGGCCAATACCTATAATGGCTACTGCTCGCCACTGGAAAAAACTTCATTAAAGCTGCGTGGTTCATTATTTCTGACGTCTAAACAAATTCCATATTTTTTTTAATGTCAAGTACGAGAAAGCGTCGATCCGTTATATTAGTCACTTAGATTATTTACTCATGTATAGAGGATGAGAACTTAATATGCACATTCATTTTTCCAAGCACTAAAACACTACGCATTTACAGGCTGTGCAGTCAGAGATGGACTCTTATACAGTAGGTTTTCATTCATTTGCCAGGTTGCCTCAGGTTTCAAAATTATCACGCTTATCTCGGTATCTACAATCAGGCTGCAAGAAGATCCGTTTATTTCTCTTCATTATCGAGTGAGTAATTTCCACCATGAACTAACGATATCTGTAAAACACCGAAAGTCGCGTTTTCTGACCTTGCTGTTTGCTTTCCTAACACTCCTTACTGGATAGTTTTTTCGCACGTTGGCTTTCCGTGAAACCTATGCTTTCATGCCAAAGACAAGTTGAAGCCATCTGCCATCTAAAGAGACCTTTATTATCAGTTATCCCGAGTGCTTGTGTATCAGGATCGCCAACAGCATTCACAGAGTAATGGGCACTGAATGTATGTTTAACATCCCTATCGTAACTCTGAGCGGCTATGGTTTTCGCTAAGAAAGCACAAATTTCCCAAAACTACTATGAGAACAAATTATTTTTCTTTTTATTTTAATGTAAAAACTCACCTGGTATTTCATACCTGGATTTGTTTTCTTTTGATATATTGCCTTAATTTCTTTGACATAATTTAGATACCACAAAAAATATTCTAGGCCGTATATACGTTACCGTGAAAGACCGAAATTGGAGAATGTCGACTTTCACCGGAGAATGTCAACATTCACCAAATAAGTCGGTGAAAGATCGAATATTGCGTTACATTCTTGTACTCTCGGACTCTCACCGGTGCATGTCGACAATCACAGATATGCTCTGGTGTAGGTCGAAAGAGAGGAGTATATGTGTTACTGTGAAAGACCGAAATTAGAGAATGTCGACTTTCACCGGAGAATATCAACATTCACCAAATACGTCGGTGAAAGATCGAATATTTCTTTACATTCTTGTACATTCGGACCCTCACCGGTGTATGTCGACAATCACAGATATGCTTTGGTGTAGGTCGAAAAGATAGGAGTATATGTACACGCTGCAATTCCAAAAGGAAGTGTTCCACAAATAAATGCAGTTGTAAAAGCAAGGGCCTCTTGTGCAATTCAAAGTGTCATAATAGTTTAAGTTGTTGCAATAAATAAGATTTGAATCGCATAATTTGGTAAGTTTATAACTTCTATTATTTTCCTCTCTCATTTTGAATGTACTGTGTGTTTTAAGTTCTTAAGTTCTTATTCTGAGTCTCAAGTGCGTTTTTTCGCGAATGAATTAGGGAGAAGGAAATATAATATTCTTATATGTTCAACATTCACCATTAGTACATGGTGAATGTCGACATTCACCGCTGTAAGTCAGAAATAAGAGTATTTGGAAAATATTTCGGACATACACCAAGCGACTATGTGAATACCGGTGAAAGTCGACATTCTCCAAATTTCAGTGTTTCACCGTAACATATATACGGCCTTGCCGCTTAGAGGGTAAGAACATATTTTTCTAACACCATTCGTACGTAGCTGGTACAAAATATTTTGATAAAATTTACTCTGTTTTACATTTTTATTTTTTTCCAAATTTTGAATAGTAATTTCTTCTTCGCGATGTTAAACTGTAATCTGAAATTTTCACACTGCAATATTTTATTATTTAATTATAATTCAATTTTTGAATTCCAACACCATCTAAAATCAAACCTATCAGTTCTCCTAGTTTAGAATGGATGAAAGTACAAACATCTTCATACTACGTGATATCCAACTGTCTGTATGGGGGGAAAAATTGAGGTTGTCAATTATAACAATGTACCGAGAAGATATACTGATTAAAACTAATATAAACAGTTTCCATCACACAAACAGACCAACACACAAAATTTAGATATGTGCGCTGTAATTGTACTCATAAATAACCAGTAATAACAATCTTGTGCTTTAATCAACCTGCAGACTTCCCAAATCTACAGACCCTCGGGGCCTTTAATTAATGCTTAAAATGTGAATAATATTTTTTTAAATGCTCGATATTAAAGTCTTTTTTTTTGGGGGGGCTATGTATCAGAGTCAAGATTTCGTCATAGAAAGGTTTCTCGGAAAATTTCCGGGTACATTGATTCCCATTCCTCTTCCACTATTTTCCAGAGTCCATCAAACGTGAAGGGTTTGCACTTAGAAAAAGTATTTTTCAAGAAATGAGAGACGGTAATCCATAAGCGAAACGTCAGGGGACTTCGCAGGAGTACATCGAAAAGATATATGCGCAGTACCTGTATCAGTCTTCCTTTTTTCAAGGAATGCACTGGTATTTTTCGAAGCATTATGATTTGCTGCTTTCTCTTGATGAAGTTGTAAGGATTATGTTAAATTCATTAACAGTTAAATTTTGAGTTAAACTTCCTTTTCTATTGATTCTTAACTTCAACTTACCACTTCCGGCTAGAACGTAGTTTCAGAATCACGTCTGAATACATAATGAGGAAGAGCGGTATTTAACCGAGAAGTTCTTCGGTCTTAGTGAGAAAGATACCAGATATTCTGGATAACACGCGTCCGCCGTTTTAGGGTACTCTCTCGTAAGCTCTATTATTACGCTCGGCCGTACTTTAGGCCCTCGATAGCTTGGCAGTCTGTTAACGTTCAAGGGCCAACTCTGTTAGAATTTTGATAGCTTCGGCTATATCTCTTTAGTTAAGATTAGTTTAGTTTAATTCTTAGTCTCTTAAGTTCAAGCCTAAGTGTCGGATTTATTGTACACTCCAAGTCGGAGTTTTGTTAAACTTGGAATAATAAAGGGTTTTCCCCTTCTATCTTGCTGTTTCCTGTCACACGAACTCAAGCGATTATTCAGCGATTTAAGCGACCGCTTGTCAGTTCCAGCAGTAAGTTAGAATTATACAGTGAGGAACTCTACAAAGTTTCACTCTTTCAAAGTTATTGGAATAATAATTTTTCGTCCTCTTAATAGTAAATACATCGAGTTGATTTTAACAATTTTTCCATCGAGTTGATTTTAACAATTTTGCCACTCTTCTTATTTTTAATTTTCCATTGTAAGAGAATGCTGCGACAATCTTAAATCCCTTCCTGAAACTTTCTTTGCACTAACGGAAACAGGTTTATACATTTTTCCCTTCGTTTCCGATAATAAATAGTCCGTTTATTGTTGCAGTCATCTAGGTAAACCCATGTTTCATCAAGGGTCGCAATGTACTTACATTTAGTTCCTGCCAACTACTTTCCATATACGTTATACAAATTGCTATGCGTTCAGTCATATGCATCGGCAAAAGCTGGTGAAAATTATATTTTTTAAGTTGTAAATCTTGTTTTATTATTTTATTTATTGTTGTTCCAGACGCATTTAAAGACTTTTACGTCTTCAGATTTTCTCTTGTTTAACCAAAGATTTAATTTTAGAAGCATTAGAAACCATAGGTACCTTTTTCGAGCATTCCCTTAAAGCAAGGATGGCCAACTCGCGGCACGCGTGTCACAGTGTGGCACGGCAGAGTTTAACAGTGGCACGCGAAGACATATTGAAAAATTAAAAGATTTTGAGGAATAATAATATCGTCTATATCTACTCCTTCGACACATAAACGCATTAGAATAAAAATATAATTAACTCTTTTAATATTTAGTTTAGGTTTATTTCACTATAGCGACACTCCGGGGATATTCTCCAAGCTCAGTAGCAGCTGCATACAGAAGTGGAATCCAAAAGAAAAAAAAATAACATAATAAAAAATTAATTGCCCAGTGACTGTATGCTACTCAAAAGTGAAGA